TAAAACCCGCCGAACAAGCCGGGGAAGGCAGGAACATGTACCCACGGAAGGGGCCCATCGCGCTAAAGGTCGCCCCTAGCAACCGTGCCATGTCCGGGCACCCCGCGGCGGGGTTGTGGTTTCGCGTGGAGGAGAATACCTGGTGTGACGCGCGGGAGTGCACCCTTTGGATCCCGAAAGGCTCGAGAGTTGGCCACAACGACGGAAGCATCATCATGGCAGCGCCCGAGCACTTTGGTAACCTTGGTGTTCGACGACTTCAACCGCCACCGTGACAAGGCCTTGACCGCCAACCTAGGGGAGAGGAGCAACACCAGCGCTATCCTGATCCCAGGCGGATTGACTCCTCTCCTCCAGCCGCTGAACTGCATGCTCAACAAGCACATGAGGCGGCTACTGCTCAACAAGTACAGCGCCTACACCGCAACCGCGGTTGACGACCACACCCCCGGCAAGCTAAGGACGCCGGGCCGTGGGATGAGGTGTACATTGTGCAGGGAGGCGTGGGCAGCCATCACCTCCGACATGGTCAAGTTGTGCTTCAAGATCTGCGGGCATACGCCGGCGCTCGACGGAGCGAGGACCACGCCTGGTTCATGCACAATTTCGGCGAGGGTTACCGCGAGCTGTTTCAGAAGCACCGCGTCTAGTGGGAAAAGGTACACCGGCGTTTCGCTGACGCCGCTCCATCTACCAGAGGAACCCGACGGCGAGAAAATCGGCACCACCACTTTCACGGCCGAAGAGATTGAGTTCCAAGGACGCCTGCTACCTCCCGTGGATGGGGAGGAAAGCGAAAGGGGTGTGGAGCTGCTGGAATATGGCAGCGATCTAGAGTGCATGGGAGTGTCGGCGTATGGTGAAAAGGAAGGAGTGGTGCCGCATTGCTTGTTGGCAATGCCTTGGACTGTAGAATCCTTGTAAAACACGTGTAGGTACCGTTGGTGCTGCCTCGAAGCACACCAGTAACGCCTACATAGGCTGGTACGTCGCAGCTTTCCATGCAGCGAGGGGCCTTGTGTTTGATGCGAGTTTTTGCGTCACGACAACAACCTTTGTCGTTTAATGCGAACCGCGACCATGCATGAGTTTACGTAGGAGTGGCGCTTCGCCGATAACGTTGTACAAGCCGCAACTGGAAAGAGCTCAATCTTGGATTTGGGGGTATTGGGGGCAATCTTGGATTTGGGGGTAGGAGAGTAAAAGCACACTAACAGGGGTTTCCTTCAATGATTTTTCGAGCATAGGATGAAGTCGGGAATATGTTAAATAACGACTTAAGGAATATGTTAACGACCGACTTTGACCGTTGTCTCGAAGGCCGCCAGAGTTTCAGTACAAGGTTGAATATTCGTGGACTCTTTGAGTAAGTGTACTCAAATCTGAATTATCCATCAGGATCTCCTTTCGTTGCTAGATACGACCCAATCGAACCCCAGATCACATGCGCCATCATCACCCGCCAGGTGTTGTGTGGCGAACTCGCTTTGTCACCACCACGTTCAAAATAACGACTGACAATCTACGCGCACGCGAGAAATGCATGTTCACCGATTCATTACTACGAGGTTACCCAAACGGCCCCCACGCCCTCAATGGGCGGGGTGGGGGTGTACTCATAGTCGTTCATGCCGTAGTCGTTAGACCGTTCACCTAGCATCCCTACAAAGCCGGGATGGGCGAGGAGGGGGGGGGTACTCATAGTCGTGCATGCCGTAGTCGTTAGACCATTGACCTCGCATCCCTACAAAGCCGGGACGGAGCACGCCGGGTTCTCACCGGACCAGGCTCTCACATCACCAAGCGCGAAGCGCCGTGAGATATTCGGCGAGTCGCATGAAGGGTGCGCTGCATCCTGCTAAGGGTGTTCGGCATATTGTGCTTACTTCCTTGCGTAC